TTTTCTAATTAGCATAATAATTAATATTTTTTTGGTTCTAATCACATTTCAATGAAACTTGGTACATTGTGCAGACCTTTAGTTTTACACTTAAATCTGTTCATATTAGTTACCTTATTTGCATAATTAGTTTTCAGCTATTCCATCAATATCTCAAGTATAAGTAATTTTGAATTAATTTTTAATGTGTCTCCAAAACTCTCAGCACACGGGAGTTCTTTCTAAGCTTTCTTTGATTTTTTTTTGTTTTTGCCTTGCAAAGAAAATTTACTTCTTGATGGGTCTTATTATTTATTTTCTACAAATGAAAATATACGGTATGTGGATAAAAACATTGTGCTATATGACATTTATATATTAGTATGGTGTACATAAATTGTGCTATATTCCTTGGGCTGGAGCAAAATCACAGGTCATTCTATGGCGTGTACCACACCATTGTTCCATATATTTCTATGGGCACTGCACAAGCTGCTGTGATTGAAGAGCTGGTGACAACAGCTAAAGTGGAGAAAAAAAACACAAATTCAACTTCTAGGTAATCCTGAACAACCAAATTTATACTCGTTGCACATGTAGGGGTAATCTTGTTACACTGTTCAGAGGAGTCAAAACAGCTAGCCCAAAGTACTGTTTCTGAGAGTTTACGGCTTTAGTTTTCATTCACATGGTTTGGTTGCCAGGTGGTGAAAATGCCTGGATGTCATCCCCCGAAAATAGGATAATTATTAATCTGTGTGATTTATGTATTGTCTAAAATTGATCTATATAATCAGACAGTGCCTGGATTGATTGCAGGTGCAGCTTCCTATTGCCCAATTATTTCATCATGGCAAAACATCTTATATCACTTATATCCAGCCAGATAGGACTTACACGAGAAGAGGTATGGTTCATTTAACAATAATGTTACTTTCTGAGTTTTATCGGTTGTTAGAAGCATGATCAATTTTCAAATGGTTCCTAACTTCATCATGTTTCTCTTTCTAGGCGACATTTACGTATTTTCTATTAGTGTCACTGTTTGTAGCTGTTTTATATGGACGCATTTTACACCCACATAGAGTTAGCCCTGTGGTTAGACACCTTGTCTCATGGCTTCTTGGAATGTATATAGGATTTTATTCATACTCATGGTGAGTTATCAGTAAACTAGGTGGCTTTGTTGATTTTCATATGGGTTCTTTTAAACTATAGAAGTCCTGGCATTACGAGATTGGTGGTTTTGTTTATATGAATTAGGGGGACTCTATATACAAAACTTAAGGGGGGAGTTCTGGATACACTAAAGGATATTGTTAATATGAACTAACCGGTTTTGTTGATAGGACCTCTGGGACTTTGTTAATATGACCTTGTGGGTGTTTATGCGTGAGAAAATTATTTTAATCTATGAGAAACTGACGGCCAATTTTAGTGTTGTTTTAGAATTTAGAAATTATAATTAAAGGTAAATCTCAGTAAATCCTAGTAATACCACATAAAATCAGTAGTTACCCTTCTAACTGTCAACCATGTGTAAAGCTAACATTTTGAAAAGTACTGTTGAATTTTTAAATGCTTATTTTATTTTGTGATGACAGTTGCAGTAAATTTTCAGATCAGATAAATTCTTAACTGCACTGAATACTACACTGTATGCGAACCCAGGATACACTACCGGCATCACTACTACATGTATGTGAATGACCTCTCCGTTAACCCATGTCCTACCAGTTCCTTGTACTTTAGACTTGACCAGATATGTGTTGATCATGTTATTTTGGTGCAGTTTGTGATAATTTCTACATGTTTTTATTTGACAGGTCAATGTTCCATCTGATTGCTCAGGCCACAATCTGTTATATATTGTTGCAAATCTTGAGTCCAAAAATTGTTCATAAAGTTGTTTTTATTGTTGCAATATTGTATTTATCAGTGGAACATGTACGACAGTTGATAAGTAATCACACAGCTGATCTGGACCATATTGGGTATGTACTAGATACTGTTACTGTATTGGGTATGTACTAGATACTGTTACTGTATTGGGTATGTACTAGATACTGTTACTGTATTGGGTATGTACTAGATACTGTTACTGTATTGGGTATGTACTAGATACTGTTACTGTATTGGGTATGTACTAGATAATGTTACTGTATTGGGTATGTAGTGGTTGACACTTTCTGTATTAGGTATGTAGTAAATGATACTGTTATTGTATTGGGTATGTAATGATTGATACTGTTACTGTATCGGGTATGTGGTGATTGATACTGTTACTGTATTGGGTATGTAGTAATTGTTACTGTTACTGTATTGGGTATGTGGTGATTGACACTTGTTACTGTATCAGGTATGTAGTGATTGACACTGTTACTGTATTGGGTATGTAGTAATTGTTACTGTTACTGTATTGGGTATGTGGTGATTGACACTTGTTACTGTATCAGGTATGTAGTGATTGACACTGTTACTGTATCGGGTATGTAGTAATTGATACTTTTACTGTATTAGGTATGTAGTAATTGATACTTTTACTGTATTGGGTATGTATTAATTGATACTGTTACTGTATTGGGTATGTGGTGATTGACACTGTTACTGTATTGGGTATGTGGTGATTGATACTGTTACTGTATTGGGTATGTGGTGATTGATACTGTTACTGTATTGGGTATGTAGTAATTGATACTGTTACTGTATTGGGTATGTGGTGATTGATACTGTTACTGTATTGGGTATGTTGTGATTGATACTGTTACTGTATTGGGTATGGTGATTGATACTGTTACTGTATTGGGTATGTTGTGATTGATACTGTTACTGTATTGGGTATGTGGTGATTGATATTGTTACTGTATTAGGTATGTAGTAATTGATATTGTTACTGTATTAGGTATGTGGTGATTGATACTGTTACTGTATCGGGTATGTAGTAATTGATACTTTTACTGTATTGGGTATATTGTGATTAAAATTGTTACTGTATTAGGTATGTATTAATTGATACTTTTACTGTATTGGGTATGTGGTAATTGATACTGTTACTGTATTGGGTATGTGGTGATTGATACTGTTACTGTATTGGGTATGTGGTGATTGATACTGTTACTGTATTGGGTATGTGGTGATTGATACTGTTACTGTATTGGGTATGTGGTGATTGATACTGTTACCGTATTGGGTATGTGGTGATTGATACTGTTACCGTATTGAATATGTAGTAAATGATACTTTTACTGTATTAGGTATGTGGTGATTGATACTGTTACTGTATTGGGTATGTTGTGATTGATATTGTTACTGCATTGGGTATGTGGTGATTGATACTGTTACTGTATTGGGTATGTGGTGATTGATACTGTTACTGTATTGAATATGTAGTAAATGATACTTTTACTGTATTAGGTATGTGGTGATTGATACTGTTACTGTATTGGGTATGTTGTGATTGATATTGTTACTGCATTGGGTATGTGTTGATTGATACTGTTACTGTATTGGGTATGTGGTGATTGATACTGTTACCGTATTGAATATGTAGTAAATGATACTTTTACTGTATTAGGTATGTGGTGATTGATACTTTTACTGTATTGGGTATGTTGTGATTGATATTGTTACTGTATCAGGTATGTAGTGATTGACACTGTTACTGTATTGGGTATGTTGTGATTGACACTGTTACTGTATCGGGTACATGTATGTAGTAAATAATACTGTTACTGTATTGGGTATGTTGTGTTTGATCCTGTAGTAGGTTGACAATAATAAATTAATTTTTTTTTGACAGTCCAATGATGATTATCACAGCACGAATAACCAGTTTAGCATTTGGTCTTCATGATGGTAAGGAATTCTTGTCATCAGTTTATAGTACTGCAGTTGCTGTACTGCATGCATTTAAGTGTCACAGTAAATCACACATTTAAATATTATGCAAATTTATTTTACATATGTTATATTCTTGAACTTGAGGCTCATAATAACAAAATAGAGTCCTGTTAAAGGGCAGCAATCATTGGGATGTGCATCTTTAAATTTTGTCTAAAGAAACCATATTTTATGTCAAATGGGACTAGTATCAAACATATGATGTGACATGACAACCCTCTACTTTTATGTATTTAGTTGAAAATGAGGAATTCCATAGCTGTATTAATTAAATTATTATTCATTTGGATTCTGAATTCCATGCATTTGTCTCATAATCAAATTCTTGAACAAGAGTTGGTAGAAATGCTAGTTTTATACTTTAAAATAGATTTATTAACACTGTGAGCACCATATTTTTTCATGTATATTTTTTTAAATTGATAATTTTGAACCAATGATTATGATTTCCTATTGACAATAACTCTTGATAACAAATTTTCAAAAAAAATATGATTTCTAGCTCCGCTGTCGACTTTGTGATTGTGATTGTTCGTCGTCCGTGTCAATGTTTTACTTTTTCAACTTCTTCTTGAAAACTACAAGCCTGAATGCTTTGATACTTGGTGTATATGTACCTTGGGTAGACTTCTCTCAGATTTGTTCATTTGATGATGATATCTTCAATTCTCTAATTTTGGTGAATATTTTTGTCATTTTTGGTAAAAAGTGATATTTTTGACTTCTTGTTAAAAAAACGCAAGTCTAATTGCTTTGATATTGCATAAATAGGTACTACATGTAGATCTCTCTCAGATTTGTTCATTTTGTAATGATATCTTTAATTCTCTAATTTTGATGAATATTTTTGTCATTTTTGGTAAAAAGTGATATTTTCGACTTCTTGTTAAAAACCACAAGTCCAATTGCTTTGATATTACATATATAGGTACTACATGTGGACCTTTCTCAGATTTGTTCATTTTGTAATGATATCTTTAATTTTCTAATTTTGATGAATATTTTTGTCATTTTTGGTAAAAAGTGATATTTTCTTCTTGTTAAAAACCACAATCATTTATGGTGAAAAATGATATTTTTGAATTCTTGTTGAAAACAGCAAGTCCCATTGCATTGATACTATGCATATTGTTCATTTTCTAATGATATCTTCTGTTCTTTAATTGAAATGTGC